GTACTGGCTAAAACATCTGGAGTTGATGAAAATTGGCAGGCTTTGTAAAGTTTCTTTCAGATCAGACTTGGCAAAACGTTTTGCTATGTAGAGATGGGCACACTCTGATTTCTGTATACTACCTCATTGGGAGGAATAGTGTTGAAATACCTTGCTTTCTAAGTAGGTAGCCTGTTCCTTATTTGGGGGTGAGGAGAGAGGTGGGCATGGAGAACTTGCCCTTGACCTCTATGTGTAGGTAGCTAGTACCTGTGGGAGGCGAGGCAGGGTGTGCTTAACCAGCCATCTTCAGGAAGACATTGCCTATGGCAGCAAGCTTTTTCTGAGCAGCTTGTTCTGTGCTATGACACAATAGTACTTTGAAATAAAAGAAAGAAAAAAAAACCTAGCATCCCAAAGGGAAAGACTTTGCTGGCAGTGTGGACACATGGGCCACTTTGAAAAGAAAGCTAACTCAGTTCACTCTGGGTGATTTACATGCCTAGAAGTAATTTGCATCTGGGGATCTTGACCCTTTCCCAAAGCCTTGCAGGTTTAGATCCGGCTTTTAAATGACAGGTGATATGTGGCTTGGGCTGGTTCTGGCAGAGGCAGCAGCAGATCACCTGAGGTGAGTGCTGTTAGGACCAGAACCTGAGGAAATAATCTAGAGATGCCTCAGAACTGAGAGAGGACACCAGAAACCAGAGCCTGTGAATGGGAGGGCTGTGGGTCTTCAGAACACAGACTGTAGTAAATGGAATGAGGGGTAAAAACAAGAGAGTGGACCCTCGTTGTGAAATTTAACTTACCTTCAGTTGTAAGGAACTGGTGAAAATTTCTGTGAGACCAGTGTAATAGAGCCTGAGGCCAGAACCCAGGATGTCCCTGGGAGGAGTTTGTAGAAAGACCCTAAGCAACTCTCCTTGGCCTGCTCCAAAACCTCTGGATCCTAAAAAAAAAAAAAAAAAATGTTTTATGTCCTTATGTTAGCTACTTACTACCCATTGGATTATAGATTACCCTTTACCCCTTAGGTTAGCTTTCCATTTTACAGTGTTATTAAACAAGGACCAAGATGAGTTTTCTAACATTGATTTGAAGCTTGAAGTAACTGTTCTGGTCTTGGTTAGGGTCTGTCCCTATGGGTTCCTCTTTGAGGAATTGGGATGGGGACTGCAATGGAAACTCCCCATTCTGCTGTCAGTGGGGACTTGAGAACCAGTCCCAAGGCTTCCATGAGACCAACGGGAAAGAGGGGAGAGCAGAGCCGCACCCCAGGAGTTAGGGGACTTGGATCTCTTGCACTGGTGATAGATAGCCTGAACAGGTTTAGTACTCTGGGTAGAGAGTCCTCCTCCCTCTTTGACTTGTAGACTGCTTCCCTGGGCTGTTCCCCCAGGATAGAATGTGACAGCTTGAGGGAGAGGGAGGAGTAGAGGACAGGGTTTGCTTATTTATAGTGCAAGTTCCTGCCTTCCCTCCTCCTCCTGACTTCTTGAGTCAGAATCTCTATGGGGGAGGTCTGGGAGTTGTGTGTGTGTGTGTGTAAGAAAGAGTAGTTAATTGGAGATAAGGGTTTCACAGACTTTCCTGCCAGGCTGGCTTTGAACCACAGTCCTCAGCTATAAGCCTCCTGAGTAGCTAGGATGGGCCAATAGTGCCCAGCCTAGGAGTCTGTTTTTAATATACATCTCCTAATTGAGCCTGACACCCAGAAGTTGGGCCTGAGTGATACTCAAAGACTCAGTGAGAACCTAAATTTGTAGACTTAACAATAGTAAGTAGTCCTGTAGGTCTACTATGACTACACCAGTCCTGCCTTTGTCCCAAACTGATTCCTGGAAATGGGTCTCCATTCCCAGTGTTGAATGGTATCATTGGGGGACAGAAGCCTTAATGTTAAATTAGGATTCTAACAAGTGCTCACAGGGGAGAGCCAGGTAAGAGGGAGCCCAGAGTGATTGAGGAGAGACTTTCAAATCGGATGATCTTGTATCCAGAGGCAGGAGGGAACACTGGTGCTGTTGCCTTCCTCCCTGGGGCTTCAGCTCTATGAGGAGCTGAGAAATGAAACCTAGCTGTCACCCGTCGGAAAGTTATTTCCCCAGAGCCTAAACAGCTGTCCCTCTGTGAGTACAAAGTCCTTGCGGTTTGGGCCCAGATCTAAAGCAAAGCATGGAACTTTGGTGGCTGTAGAAGTGTTGTGAAAATCTTGTTATAGATCTGTGATAGGCCACAGCATCTGTAACAAGGGTGGGTATTTGCTTTCTGAAAGAAGGAGAGAGAGAGAGATTTTGAGCACATGTTTTGGGTTCCTAAGAGTCTTTTTGGTGGTCGTTTTTGTTTTGCCTTTCAAGGTTGTTGGATCATTTCCATTCTTCACCCCCAAATCCCCCCCTTCCTTTGTCCCTTTCTCCTACATAAAAGGAATAGATTTCCACACAAATGTGAAGAAATCTGACCAGATTCCAAAATACACCTCTAATGTATACATCCTTCTAATGTTTTTACCAGTATGAAAAATGATTTTTAAAACTCATTGTCCCTGCTCCCCTTCCTTCAGATAAAACAAACCAACACCGGTTGTCACCTGCCAGTCGCCCCTAGCCAGGTGCAGTTACTTCCTGTGCTGAGGGCTGACCGTGTGTGTGCTGGCTGTGTGGATGCCAATCCCCAGCTCACTGAACATTGGCACTGCTCCCTGCCTCCACCAGCCATTACTCTGTGTGGTCATTTTCGTTGAGATGAGTGTTTCCAGTCTTTCATCATGGTCGCAGAGGCCTATTTACCTCTTCCCCCAGTGAAGCTCAGCATTTATCTAGCTAAGTGTTTGGGAATTCCTTTGACTGGAGGCCATGACACAATATGTACGTTTGACTTTACCTCTTGTGGCAGGCCCGTGAGCTGAGGAAGCTGGAGACTTGTCTCTCTTACTGAGTCCACACTCTACAGAGAACTGCTTTCCTAATTGTAAGAGCTGACAGTGCTGTAAAGATAAGAGGTATATGTAGAGAATGCAGCATGCGGTCCTGGAAGCCTAGAACCCTGGACAAACCACCTTCAAAAATAAATGGAAAGCCAGGCACCAGTGCCTCATGTCTATAATCTTAGCTAGTTTGGAGGCTGAGATCTGAAGATTGCAGTTCAAAACCAACCTGGGCAGGAACGTCTATGGGACTCTATCTTCAGTTAACCACCAAAAAGCCAGAAGTGGTGCTGTGGCTCAAGTGGTAGAATACTAGCCTTGAGGAAATTCAGGGACATTGCCCAGGCCCCAGGACACTCTTCTCTCTCTCTCTCTTTCCCTCCCCCAACCCCCCTCTCTCACACACACACGCATACACAATGGGGGGGGGAGCAAATAGTACCTGATCTTCATGTAATTGGTGGTGGTATTTGGTGGTATTCATTTTGTGGTATTGGGGTTTGAATTTCATTTTGTAATTGCTAATCAGGGACTCTACTGCCGAGCCATGATTCCAGCCCTTTTTGTTCTGATTACTCCCCTACCACACACACACACACACACCTCTTTTTTTAAAAAAAAGTTATTATAAAGGTGATATGAGTCACGTAATGAATATACTTCTTTTTGGACAATGTCACCCTGTCTCCCCTTTCTTTGCTCTGTCCCAGTTTTTCTCTCCCATCCTTGTCCACAAGCTGTATAATTCATTTTCAGCATAGAATCTAGTAAGTACCACTGCTGCATTTGTTCACCCTTCCTCCCTCCATTTCTGTGCCCCTCCCAGACCTCCCCTAAAGACAGATAAGAGAGCAAACAAGACAAAATGTTCTGATTACTTTTTTGAGATAAGGTATCTTGGCTTTTGTTGTGTCCCCTTACCCCCCAACCTGGTCTATGATCCTCCTGTTTACAATTCCCACAACCTCTGTGATGACAGGTGTAAGACATCACACTAGCCTTTTCTATTGAGATGGTATGTGTGTGTGTGGGGGGGGGGGGGTGTCCTCTGAACTTTATTTGCCCAGGCTGGCCTGAAACCTGGCCCATCCATGTATTTAGGATTGCAAATGTGAACTACTACCTCCAAACTTCCTGCAGTCTTTATATAGCCATTATCAGGATTCTGTGAGAGCTCTCAGAAACATAGTAACAAGTGATTAGGAGACTTGTAATTATTGTAGCCCCCCCCCCCTCCCCCAGAAAGGAACATTGTATTTCAAAGAGATAGTCCAACTGTAAGGAAAAAAAAAACATTGTATCCATGTTATTTGTCTCCTTAGGACTTTGATTCTTTTTCTTGTAGCAACTTTGTCTTGTTAGAAATTCCAGTAGGCTGAGGTCCAGAATACCTGGAAATTGTGTCTTGACCCTGTTCCAGTGTGACTAGTTACTCTATAAAGGGTTACGGAAAAGATGAGGTGAGGTGGGGCAGGTTCTAGACTGCTGATCTCCATATGGTAAGTAGTTTTGAAACCACTGCATTCTAAGGCTCCTTTGAGAAAGTAGCTCTGGGTTGGAAGTATGGCTCAGTTGGTAGCCAGTGAGCAAAAGCAGCAGGTACCGAGTTCAAGTCTCAGTCTCTGAACAAAAAGAAAAGAGAAAGCAGCTCAGAGAGTCAAGTGAAATTCCTTGATTCTAGTTACTGACCATGCTGCAAGTATCTCGTGCCTAAGCTTGGGAAGTTCTGTTGTCGCTGTATATCTCAACCCCACCTCCAAGTAATTGTGGGGGCAGTAATAAAACTGTCTCCTAGCAGGCAAAGAAAGCCAGGATATTGACATCTGTGGGAGACTAGAACCCTGGGAGTGTTTATTAGTGGTGCAATTGATGAAAATTGTGCATCTACATTTGTGCTTATACAAGTGTGTAAATCATCTTACGCACATATCCCAGAACCCCAGAGTTAGCCAGGACTAACTTAAGATAGCTAGCTCATCACTAGGCCCAGACTTCCTGTCTGAAACAGGCACTTCAGTCCCTGCCACTTCCTGAAGGTACCACCCTCAAAACTTTCTCTCCAGCTCAGACATGCCTTTCACTCTCTGCCTAGGCTGAGGCCGACGTGGCTTCTCTGAACAGACGCATCCAGCTGGTTGAGGAGGAGCTGGATCGTGCTCAGGAGCGTCTAGCAACAGCTCTGCAGAAGCTGGAGGAGGCTGAGAAGGCAGCAGATGAGAGCGAGAGGTGAGAAGGCTTCATCCAGCCCCATTTAGCACAACGTTTCCTCCTTGGGGGACGAGCTCTAGGGCTTCTCTGCATATGGAGGCTTAAATTTTTTACGGTCCTTGGAGGGCAGTGGGTGTAGCTCAGTGGCAGCATGCTTGCCTAGCATGCACAGGCCCTGGGATTTTACAGTCCCTCATTAAAATGTCTACTGTATGAGTCTAGGTCCCCAAATTGTAAAAAGGTTAAAAAAAAAAAAAAAGATCTTGCTGCCATCCTCACACCACCAATGAGGAAGACAGACACAGAATTCTGGAATACAAAGAAATTCCAGGGATACAGAGACTTTTTCCCCCTGCTTATCACATAGACTTTGTAACTAAAAATGGATCAAGAGCCAGGTGCCAGTGGCTCATGCCTATAATCCTAGCTACTCAGCAGGCTGAGATACAAGGATCTCAGTGTGAAGCGAGCATAGGCAGGAAAGTCCATGAGACTCTTTATCTCTAGTTATTCACCAAAAAGCTGGAAGTGGAATTGTGGTTCAAGTGTAGCTGTCACCCTTGAGCAAAAAAAAAAAAAAAAAACTAAGGGAAAATGCCCAAGCCCAGTACTGACACACATGTATGCACATGTACACACACACACACACCCCTCTACAGACACGCATGCACACAAATGTGCCAAAGATACTTAGACACAAGAGATAAACATGAGGCTGCCGCTTGCCAAATAGGTGGAGGATAAAGAATCTGTAAAGCAAAACATGTGGACTCATACTCAGTACACATAAGACTTATGTGTGCTTGCAGGTGCAGTCCACCTGCTTCTATCTGACTCATTGAGGTAAAGGAAAGCTTGTTCCCATCTAAACCAGCCAATGTGTTCTGGAAGGCTCACTTCCTCAAGCTGATGTGTTTATCACATTCCATGGACACCCATGAGCATTCTGCCAGCTAAGGGACGGCATAGCTGGGTTAGGCTAAAACTCTCCAGATGAACCTATCTGTGCTATTTCCTGGGCAGGTGTTAAACTCCTTATTCCCTGTTTCTTTTTTGTTTTTTTTGGGGGGGGGTGCCGGTCGTGGGGCCTGAACTCTGGGCCTGGGCGCTGTCCCTCAGCTCTTCAGCTCAAGGCTAGCGCTCTACCACTTGAGCCACAGTGCCACTTCCGGCTTTTTGCTTATGTGGTGCTGAGGAATCGAACCCAGGGCCTCAGGCATGCAAGGCAAGCGCTCTACCACCGAGCCACCTTCCCAGCCCCCTTCCCTGTTTCTTAATGTTGCTTCACTAACCAGAAGTGTGCACGTATGGTGGTGCGGTGCCTGACTTCTTCCTGGTGCACATATAGTAGTGTTGAAGCTGACTTTTTCCTGAAACAAACCAGCCAGTGAACCTCGCAGTCAGTCTAGTTGTTAGGCACTGCCACAATAGGACCTTAGAGATTCTTTTACTCCAATCCTTGGTTTTATAAGGGAGAAAAACTAGGGCTCCAAGACTGACATCTCTCCAAAGGCTCACAGCATACTTGTGGCTAAGACAAAAAAAGTACTATTGCCTCCTTAAATTTTGATCAGTCAGTCCCAGTATATTATTCCATAAATCTATAACTACCAGATCAATTAACGCTTTTTGATATGTAAGATTGTGCCACAGACCCTAGTATACATATCAGCAAAGAAATAGTATAGTCTTATTTCCCCACACTTCTATTTAGAGAAGATTCCATTACAGGTAGAACTTAGTTTCTTTTGTTTGTGTTTTTGTTTTGATTTGGTTTGGTTTGGTTTTTGTGCTCAAGGCTTGTGCTTTACCACTTGAGCCACAGCTCTACTTCTGGCTTTTTTTCTCTTTTGGTGGTTAACTGGAGCTAAGAGTTACCTGGACTTTCCTGTGCTGGCTGGCTTCAGTCCTCATATCTCAGCCTCCTAAGTAGCTAGGATTTCAGGCATGAACCACTGGTACCCATTTAGAACATTGTTTCTTATCTGTGGAAGAGGTATGTGATGATAAATCTGCTCCTGTTATATTCCAGCAGTGATCTAGCTCAGAAAGGGAGAACAATTCCTTTATATTTAATAAACCCTGATGGCTTTTCTTGTTCCCTTGCTTCCCAGATGCAAACAGATTCTGACCTTGTATCTTTGATTTAACATTAGGTTTTGCCAGTGCCCAAAGTGTGTGATTACATTTACAATGACCAGAGAGGAATACTGCTTCATGATTCAGAATGTGGAAGTAGCTCTGTGCTCTGTTCTGGTCTGCCATTCTCACTAAGCCTCACCAGACCAGAGCAGTGCACAATGAGTTGAGGAGGTCAGCTCTGTATCTTGGTTTTCCTGTTGGTCTTTCTCTCCAGAGGCATGAAGGTCATTGAAAGTCGAGCCCAAAAGGATGAAGAAAAAATGGAAATTCAGGAGATCCAGCTCAAAGAGGCAAAGCACATTGCTGAAGATGCCGACCGCAAATATGAAGAGGTCAGATCCTGGGGCCCAGAGTCTTGTGGAGTTCCAAGAGTGGCCTGGAGGCAGCAGTATTACAGCCTTGATTCCTAGATGATGCACTCTGCTTCCCTGGCACAGTGGGTGGTTTTAAGGAAAAATTCCTTTGTCTTATTTTAATTGGTTCTCATTTTTGAGCCTACTCAGGGATCCCAGGTCTATCAAGAAGGTGGTCAGTAGCATTAGAAAAAAAAGATCAAAGCGTCTAAGCCTAGGACAAAGATTTTTGACCAGGAACAGGAAAAGCTGGGTCCTTGGAAAAGGAGGTTGTAACTACAAGGTGTTCTTGCAGTGGGGTTCACCTAGCAGTTCATCCAGTCCATGGGCCATGCAGCTGCTCAATAGATTCATGGAGGCCCCTTTTCCGGGGTGATAGAAACCTCCTGTCAACTCAGGTCCTCATCATCATGTCCTCATAAAAGTGACCTGCATTGCAAACAAACAAAAACAAGATGTTTCATTGTATTCCTAACTGTGTCACATCATGGCTGTCCTGGCTCTCGTCTGCATTTTTGCTCCAGGATATTGTTCTGTACGCACTAATCTCGAGCTGCTTCAGAGGACCCTTTCTTCTCTCAGGTCCACTCTGTGCCTGGATGCAGGTTTGCATCGGTGCCCAATCCTGTCCTGGTAGCTCCTCTGCGTTTCTCACCGCCTCCGCAGGAGGGGGCTGATGGGCAGAACTAATGTCGGGGAAGTACCTAGGGTTACTTTCAGGGTTTTCTTAGCAGTCTCCACCTCTTCGGTAGAAAATGTGTCACGGCTCATCACACTGCTATTTTTGAGATTGCAGATTTTGTATTTCTCATTCCGCACTCCGGTCTCTCCGTGGTATAATTATACGTCAACGTGACACCATGATTGTAGCTGGCCATTCTGGGTCTTGGTGGGCACCTCTCTGTGGGCACTCCCAAGGGCGAGGTCACTGGAGTGAAGAGCACTCTGTCTAGACAAGAATTTTGGCTTTCCCCCCCTCCTCCCTCCCCAAACACATCAGCTCCATGGTGTATGTGTGTACTGTGCTTGTCCTGCAGGTGGCCCGCAAGCTGGTCATCATTGAGAGTGACCTGGAACGTGCAGAGGAGCGGGCTGAGCTCTCAGAAGGGTAAGAGGGCCGCTGCCCAGAGGCCACGAGTGGGGTGCTGCGGAGCAGTGACTAAACAGCATGACCTTGTGGCCGCTGCACATTGACCTGTTTCCGCTCCCCCTCCTCCCGTGCACATGTGATGTGGATCAGCCACGAGCGTGGAACACGGAGGAGCCAGCGGGGTGTCTGTGTGAATGCGTGTAGCACTGCATGCCTTACCTGCACACTGATTTTGTGAATGGCCTTGTGCATTTCCTGTGTCCACTAACAGCCAAGTTCGACAGCTGGAAGAACAATTAAGAATAATGGATCAGACCTTGAAAGCATTAATGGCTGCAGAGGATAAGGTACTGATAGCTCATGTGTGGTTCCTAGGTTTAACTGCAACCCAGCTTCAATGCCTCCTGGTTGGTTTGGTGTAACGACTGCACCTTCACTACACCTCTGCTGTTTATATCTTGCTTTGAGTGCTTTCTCTTGGTCCTTTATGCTCCTTTGTTTTTCCCCTTTGTAAGTACTCAGTCACTCTTCATGGCGGCCAAATAAGAAGCCAAATTATCACCCTGGATTTTTTTGTCACCCTGCTTTTCCTCTGCCGTGAGGCTGGAGGGCAGTATCTGTGTGAAACTAAATCTTTTCACTCCTGATGGTTTGGCTACTTTAAGGCAGCCCTTTGTCTCTAGGACTCGGTTTTCATTTTTTTCCCCCATCCCTCTCCTTTTTCTCTCTCCTTTCCTCTGGCTTGTCTCCACCCTTTCTGCCTCTGGTCCAAAACATTAGCAAATGTGCCGAGCTTGAAGAAGAATTGAAAACTGTGACCAACAACTTGAAGTCACTGGAGGCTCAGGCTGAGAAGGTAGGCCAGGAGCATGGAGTGGGGAAGACATCTTTTCAGCATGGCTGCCACCGGTGACAATAGCCCAGGTGGCTTTCTAGTAAATGACAACATTTTGAGATGATTTCCTGATGGCAATTGCAGAGAACAGGATTTAAGATTTTTTTAATAGAGTATGTATTTTATGTTGGTGGGTCAATTTAATTTAAATACAGTGCCAAGGAGATAGTTATCTTGTTCTTACCCTATGTAAAACAATAGGCAAGAAAGCAGAGAATGTATTGTAGCAAGCCATTTGATATTGGAGGTTCTGTTACCTGTGAGGAGATCCTTAACATCTGTTGGCTGGGTTGGCACAGTCTTGGTGTTAGAAGGCATAAGGATGGACTGGGAGCTACAGCCTGACATCTGGAATGTTCTTTTCTAATTACAGTACTCACAGAAGGAAGATAAATACGAGGAAGAGATCAAGGTCCTTTCTGACAAGCTGAAGGAGGTAATACTAGGATAATTTATGCATGAAGCCAACTGGATTTTTTGTTGTCAGTCCTGGGGTTTGGGTGCTGTCCCTGTGCTTCAGTAAGAAGGCTAATGCTCTCTACTACTTGAACCACAGCTTCATTTCCAGCTGTTTGCTTTTTTTTTGGGGGGGGGGGGTCCGGTCGTGGGGCCTGAACTCTGGGCCTGGGCGTTGTCCCTCAGCTCAAGGCTAGTGCTCTACCACTTGAGCCACAGCGCCACTTCCGGCGTTTTTTTTTCTTTTTGCTTATGTGGTGCTGAGGAATGGAACTCAGGGCCTCAGGCATGCAAGGCAAGTGCTCTACCACTGAGCCACTTTCCTAGCCCCCAGCTGTTTGCTTTTGTTTAATAGTTAACTAAAGATAAGTCTCACTGGCTTTACTGCCTGGACCAACTTTGAACCACAGTCCTCAGATCTCAGCCTCCTGAGTAGCTAGATAGGATTATAGACTTGAGCCATGGATGCTTGGGTCCAACTGGATTTTTAATGAAGTTTATTTGCGCTGGAGATAGTCAGGGTTTTGTTTTGTTTTTCATTTTCAGGCTATGATGACCCAAGCCAGGGGTATACAGGGCTAGTCTTGGAATTAATGTGCTCTGCCAGCTTCCATCACTCGGTAGTTAACTGAAACAGACTAGTCCTTTCCGATCCATTTCCTGAGTGATGTCCTTGAGTTTTGTGGTCTATAGTTGTTAGAACTATGAAACTTCCCAACTTTGACTCAATTTAAATCCTCATAGGCTGAGACTCGGGCTGAATTTGCAGAGAGGTCAGTAACTAAGTTGGAGAAAAGCATTGATGACTTAGAAGGTAAGATCTTAAACTTTTTTTTTAATTCTTATGGTTGAATTCTGACCTGGCAAATTGATTGTCCAACCCAAGTTCATCCACTGTGATAAACTTTGCTATTGCACCTTCTGCCTGACTATCCTGTGACTCCTAAACTCTTCGACTGATTCTTGAGGTGACTGGTTAGCCATCAGACCATGCGTGTCAGGTTGTAATGGCAGACGTCATTCGGCCTTCCTTCATGCTCCTCAAAAGTGTGTCCCTATTTGACCAATGTGCTTACATGTAAAAGTCTATTTTGTGTCTTCAGTGATTCCTCCTAATTGCCAGAACAGTATGAATTTTAGATACAACCTATCTTGCAAGTATGAATTCAGTGGAAGGTCTTACAGTTTTTTTTAAGTTATTCATGAGCAAAATGTTCTATTCACATGACAGTGTATGGTTTGGGAGTCAATAGGGCATTGTAGCTTGGGAGTATTCTTTTTTTTTTTGAGTCCAGTCGTGGGGCCTGAACTCTGGGCCTGGGCGCTGTCCCTCAGCTCTTCAGCTCAAGGCTAGCGCTCTACCACTTGAGCCACATCGCCACTTCTGGCTTTTTTCTTTCTGTTTATGTGGTGCTGAGGAATCGAACCCAGGGCCTCATGCATGCAAGGCAAGCGCTCTACCACTGAGCCACCTTCCCAGCCCAGCTTGGGAGTATTCTTAAGCATCTCCCCACCTAAAGCTTTTAGGTTTTATTTAAATAGCAACCACTGTATCTCATAGAAATTTTAAATGTTAGGTGTTGAGGATTGTGATTGGTTACCTGTATCTGTGGGTGGGGAAGGGAAAAGAGTTGGTTATAACCAAGATATGGTTGCTAAGCAACCAAAGCAGGAAGCATCATCACAGCAGTACCACCCTAAAAAGTATCGCTGTCCTCTTTTATCAAGCCTCCTGGAGCTGTAGCCAGTGGCTCAAGTGGGAAGGCCACCGTAGTTCAGGTGATACTAGGAAATAAATATCCCTGGGTGTGCCTAGGTTGGTCAGGAAGTTAGTGGCTAGAAGGTGAAGCCAGTGAAGAATTTAGTCACAAATGCTGTCTTTGGGGGTATTTTTCCCATTGTTTATAGCTTCAGGTGGCTGACTACCCTGGGGTGATTTAAACACAGCTTTGTTTAAAAAAAAGTTTGTTGTTGTTGTTCCATTACTCAACAGGAGAGACAGCTGGCCTTCTGTGTGTGGCATTCTTTCAGGTTTAGCAGAAGTCTCCTATACCTGCCATATTTGTTACACTTTTTCATATTGAATCTTTCTCCTTTTATTTCCTAATGGGTTTTGTTCTGTTTTTTTTTTTTTTCCTCTCAATTTATTTAAAACCAAACCGCACGCCTCCTGCTCTGGCCTCCTGCTGCGGCACCGCCCTCCCCTTCATGCATTGCCTTTTCTTGCTGCCATGTTGGGATGGCCCATGCCATCCCCCTTCACCCCCCATCTCTTGGTCACTCTCCATGTCCTTGCATCTCTGCCTTCCGCTTCCTGCTCGTAGATGAGCTGTACGCTCAGAAACTGAAGTACAAGGCCATCAGCGAGGAGCTGGACCACGCTCTCAACGATATGACTTCCATGTAAATGTCCATGCACCCTGCCTGCTCCATCAGCACCCGCATGCTTCTGTGATGAGCTCCCCTTGGCTCCTCCCTCCCGCTCCATGACCTCCATCTGCGCGCCCTGCTCTCTGCTTGCTTGCACAACCTGGGTGGCCCTTACCCTCTTTACATTGTACGAATCTGAACGCCAAGTAGATCAGTGCAAACCGTGGTCCTTTGAGAATCATTTTCCTTTAGAAACACTGAGCTAGTTTGTTCACACCAAGTAATGAATATTGAATTCCTGGAATAGGAACTGCCTTGAATACTATTCTTAAGAAATCCACTAAAAAAAAAATGGCCCTGTGGCTCAAGTGGTGGAGCACTTGCCTGGAGCTGAAGAGCTCAGGGAGAGCATCCAGGCCCAGAGTTCAAGCCCCACTATCGACACACACATACCAGAAAAAAGAAATCCACTAAAACTGGGTGCCAGTGGCTCATGTCTATAATCCTACCTACTCAGGAGACTGAGATCTGAGGATCCCAGTTCGAAGCCAACCTAAGGAAGCAAAGTCTGAGAGATACTTCTCTCCATTTAACCAGCAAAATATCAGGAGTAGAGCTGTGGCCCAAGTGGTAGAGTATTAGCCTAACTGACAGCATCCGGGCCCTGAGTTTCAAGTCCCAACACTGGGACGAGAAAAACAAAAAGCCACTAGACTCAAGTAAAATTAAAAGGCCATTATGTCACATAGGAACTTTGGAAGAAATACCAAAATTGAGATTCCATCAAGTACAATTTGATCGTTCTTATAAAAGCAATGTAAACATAAGGAAACCTTAAAGAATAAAATAGATTATCAAACGTCTGAGGAAAGGGAATTTGGTGTGACCCAGTCCAACCTAAAGAGCTTTCTGGAAGCACATCTCCCTCACAAAGTGAGCACACCGCTAGTAATCAAGTCTATAGTTTCCTGTTTACAGTAATTAAAGTCCCCACCATAAACATTGGCCACAACCCGTGGCAGAGATGTGGGAAATAAAACAGCTTTGCAGCTGACTTTGGCGTTTCCTCACGTGAGGCAGTATTGTTGGGGTGAATAACCTTGTTCTCACACAGACTTCAAACACATACAACTAACTCAACGTATTGCTAACCAAATTTAAACTTAACCTGCCTCTTTTAAGTTCTAACCAGGAGTGTTTTCACACTGGGTTCCACTAATGCTAAAAGTGTGGCTTTCTAGGCTCACTTGTTCGTTCTTTACCCGTGCAGAAAACCAAGTAGTTTGGAGAGTGTAGCATGTGCTTTGGCTTTAGGGGCTATAAAATCCCAACCCTTAGAGGCCTAGTAGTCCCCATGGAAACAGTGCCTCTTCTCCCTCACTTGGAAAGGGAGGGGTCAGCTCATCTGCCTCTGAGGTCCTCCCCAGCGCGCAAGTGCAATCTATGGGAAAAACTTGGCATCAAGTATGATGAGATAACCCAAAGAAAGGTTTTGGGGGTTGGGGGTTTGGCTCAATTGATAGAGGCACCAACCAATGAACAAAAGCAAGCATCAGATGCCAAGTTCTAATGAAGCAAAGTCCATGAGACACAGATCCCAATCTCATCTGAAAGAGAAAAAAAAGGTGTTGCCTAAAACTGGCTTTTAAATCCTGTTCCTGGGTCTTCCCTAAAGTTGACGGGTGATAAATAGCCCAGGTCTATACCAGGATGGACTGACCCCCAGAGAGGTTGGCACCACTGTCAGCAGTAGGTTTTGCACATCTGCTTCCCGCCTGCATTTCAAGTGCTGTTATCCTCATCTGTTCATTTGATTTCCCTTTTATTTTTTTCCTGTTGTGCCACTTTGTTCTTTTCTCTCCCATCTTTTGTCTTTATACAGATAAGTTTCTTTGCTTCACCTCTCTCAAGACTCCTTCCTCGAGCTGGATGTCCCATCTCTCTGAGTTCTGCATTTGTCTGTTCTCCAGCTGACCCTGGTTTTTCTTTTAGTACCCACCCTAGGGCCAGACACATTGCTTTCTGTTGTTCAGGAGCTCTTCATCCAGTATAAAATAAACAGTGTAGTAAGCTCTTTCTGTTTGCTAGCCTTTCTACTTCTTATTTATTGACATTTCATCTCAACACTGAATAAAACTATATTTCTGCTTCATGCACCTAAGGATTAATTTCTGATTGCTGCTTTTTTTTTTTCCATTCTATTTTTGTTTGGACAGTCTCTTCACTGCGTAGCCCAAGCTGGCCCCAAATTCACAATCCCCTTTGCTCACCGCTCCAGCTGCTGGGATTACAGGTGTATACCACCACAACCAGCTACGTTATCCAAGTGTCTCTAAAGCGGTAGTTCCTTGTGGGGACTTGTAAAAATAGTTCCCAGGGCTACATCCTTGCCAGAGGCCTGAGCATCGGTGGTTTTGGGCCAAGAATCTCAGTACAGGAGACAAGTGTTTGTTGGAACTCAGAAAATCTGGTATGAGCAATGTCTTCCTCTACCAGAAGTCTAGGTTGGGGCTGTGTTGAAAAGGATATGGCCCTGCTCAGTGAGGGACTTGGCTAATTAAGAAATAGGTGCACAGCCATCTGATGACTCCCTATACTAGGCATTTGCATATGAGAAAATATGGTGAAGAGTGGAGATTCAGACAGTGGGTGCTCTGGTTGTCCTTCCCCTTGTTCTAGCTCAAGGAGACCCACATACAGGTACCTTCATTTTGGTCAGGAAAAGGACATCTTAGATTTTCTAAATATGATAGCTATATTTGAGTCTTGGTTTTCGTGCTGTAAACATGTGTGTGTGTATGTACGTACGTACATACGTACGTACGCATGTACATATGTATACACGCACACGCACGTATACACACATACTTGTTGTGGGGTTTGAACTCAGGGCCTGGATAGCACCGTCTGTGAGCTTTTTTACTCAAGGCTACCACTTCGAGCCACAGTGCCACTTCTGGTTTTCCGGGGGTTAATTGGAGATAAGAGTCGCAGACTTACCTGTCCGGGCTGGCTTTGAACCACAATTCTCAGATCTCAGCCTCCTGACTAGCTAGGATTACAGGCATGAGCCAACAGTGCCTGGCACATCATATATTGTTTGTAGGGTTGTACCAATATCATTTTGGGTTTATTAGCTGAGATTTCCTCCTTCCTTCCCCCACCCCCATTTGTGAACATTTTTTTAAAATGTAGCCATTAGAGTGCTAATTCCCCCAAAAACAAAATAAGTAGTAGAGAAAATTGTTCACAGTACAAATTGTATTTTACTTGCTATTTAACGCCACAAACAGCAAATCTGAGTTCTTTCTGTTATTTTTTTTTTCAATTGCAAAATTAGAACTTTTAAATAACATTAACTTCTTAGTTCCCAACATTTCCCCTTCCTCAGCAGGAGGGGTCTCTTCTCCTTGTTTAAGACACACCTGTTTTATGCATGGTTGGTTCATTGTTAGCCCAGGAGGGGTGATGACCACTATCCCTAGATAAACTTGACCAACCCTGGAGACAGTGTCAATCACTCTGAGAAGTCTTCAGAGCAGAGAAAATAGTTCTGTATGCAGACTGTACATTAAAGTATTTTAGTAATGGCAAGTTAGACTCCTAAATTCACAATCTGGATATTGTCTCTCTCAGGAGTACAAAGTCCTCTCCAGTTTTTTTTTTTCTTATTCCAGAGGTTCCTTGGGCTCACTTCTCACCTTGATTCCTGCCTTGTTCTTTTTTCAAATTCAGAGAAACAGATGTGACCCTTTTCTGGGTCATCCTGCCCTAGAGAATTTTCTAGAACCAATCTGCAACTTCTACTGAGCAAATATGAGTAGGGATATGGGAGAGTAATGGATGAGAGATGTAGGTTGAGGTGCTCCAGTACAAGTGCACAGAAAGGGGGTGCAGAGCAAGCTGGGTTTGGGAAGAACCTTGGGGTCCAGGCTTCTAGTGAAAAAGGCTATCCCAAGGCTGCAGCTGCGTCAAAAACCCAAACTGAACTGAACCAGTCACTGCTGAGTCTGAGCACCAGTGGTCTCAGGTAACAGGAAGCCTGTGGAACAGGTGTGTTCATATGTTTGGTCCCTGTCCTCAGGGCCCCTGGGTCCACCAGCTACATGGCAGTTCACAGAACAGGCCTCAAGAAAGCAGAAGTAGGGACCACAATCATTGAGGCTGAATTCATAGTGATTCTCTGTGGTCTCTCAAAGACTTCTGTTCCAGCTAGCCATACATTTGGGCTCAGCAAACAGACATGCCTGCCCATGCCAACAGTTGCCCAGGCTGACAATGTAACCAGCTTAGTAGTAGGGTTTACATTTACAACCTCCAAGCATATGCCACATGCAAGGCCAAGGATATGAGAAGAGATGAGACCAGTATCTTGTCAGAATACAAATGAGTGAGGTGAGTGTGAACTGGGAGTCACTGAACATCCCCTCCCAAGATCATCAGATACAGACCAAGTTGTACTTGGCAAATTGCAGACCTTCTCACTGGTCTTCATGCAAGTTGATCTACATCCCTTGGCACCAGAGATGATTGCCAGGCTATCCTCTTGGAGTAAACAGATGAATTCTGAATTAATGTCAAGGGGAAAGAATGTTCTTTTGCTATCTGATAAGATTACACACCATGAAAGTTGAATGAGAGTTCAATAAATGTCCCCTGGTGATGGGGGGAGGGACAGGGAGATTAGTTGTCTCACCCGTTTATTACTGCCTGAGCAGAAAACCCATGCTGTGCTGTGAGGACAGATATGGGGGGTTCCAGAATAGTACACAGGAATGGTCCCCAAAGAGCTTCCCTGCACCCTGGAAAGGGAACGGCTTCAGTTCCCAAAGCTGCTAAACAAAACTGCACATGACTGGGTTCACAAGATGGTTTTGTGAGGTATAAGAGACACTTTCCTTCCCCCTCACCCCCTTCCTTCTCCTGTCCTGTACCTGTACCTCTCCTCTCCTCCCCATTAAGGAAGAGATCCTGGCCTGTCCTCCTCCTTTGTTCTCACCCACCCTTGTGAGGGAGAGGGCAGATGACCCGAGGTAAGGATAGACTGTTGAGCAGGAGACCAGCTGCCGTCCTGCCTGGGGTATCTCTGTGTTCTCTGTCTATTAACTGCCTCTCGCCAAGTCTGCCTAACCTTACTTCTTCTTTCTGTCTCCTCTTTTCTGCTAACCTGCTTGCTGACCTGTACAGATCAACTCTACCAGCAACTTGAGCAAAACCGCCGCCTAACTCATGAACTAAAGCTGGCCCTGAATGAGGATTAAAAACTTAAAAGTGTGAGGAACTTGGGCGGAATTAAGCATGGTGCCCATGAGAGTCCACTCAGAGGCTGACCTGACCTTGGTTTCCCTCCATATCTGAAGCAGTAACAGTCTTTTAAATCCCAGACAGCTTTTAGGATAAAACATGCCTCTCCACGGAGAAATATTTATAACTCAGCACCCTTTTCGATAGCAGGTCCTCTTTGAACTGAGGGCCAAAACACATTTTCTATTTCTTCTAGACAAATATCTATATATACATACATGTGTATATATACACACACATATTTATATAACCCATATTTGTATTCCTAGCTTCATTCTGGCATAGTATTTGAAATATGATTAAATGTACCTATGCTCAGGCAAAGTAGCTTTTGCAAAGAGGAGTTCATGCTAGAAGTTCCCAGTTGTCTGAAAGGTATGCTTTGTTCAGTTTAATGGTGGTGTTGGCATCTGCTGAGAATGTCATGCTAATAATAAAACAGTATTGAAAAATATTAAGAGAATGTCCTAATGAAGTGCATGAAACATGTTGATAACTGTTGATGACCCACAGAAATAAATCATTTGAAAAGTTAATCCAAAACCTATTTCTGTCACCTCTGTTTTCTGTGAGGCTGTGTTACAACACGATTCCCAGACCTTTAACTGCCTGTAAGTCAAGTGTCTGCCAGTGTTCATTTCCCCCATTAGTGTGATCATCATGCTGCCTCTGTATTTGGATTGTACCCCTCCCTGTTCCCACACTCGCCCTGCTGGTGCAGGTGCTGTGGTTATTTTCAGTCCCAGATCCCCGCCCCCAACCCTCCCCCCCTGCTCGGGTCTTTGTTTGGAAATGAGTGATGTCTTAAAAGCATGCTGAGTTCTAATCATCGCCTCCTGTGTTTGTGATTGATGTGCCTGCCCCCTGTACAGACCGCCACTGTGTCGGTAGCGACTGTGTCGGTAGCGCAGCTATTCATGACTCGCTTTTCTAATCTCACCACAGAGAAAGTGGCTCATGCCAAAGAAGAGAACCTTAGTATGCATCAGATGCTGGATCAGACTTTACTGGAGTTAAACAACATGTGAGAACTTCCCTAGCTGCGGCCACATTGCTCTATTTTGTTCTTGTTTTGTGTTGTGTTTTTTTTTTTGTTGTTGTTGTTTTTAAACACCTGCTTATCATGAAAGCCCCTGAATGCATCTTTACTTAATTTACCACTGTCTCACCCACGTCCACAAGAGCCTGCTAGGGTGGGTGGGGAACACAGGCGAGCCACAGCAGGCCATGAGGGCTCCACGTGCCATTGCCCAGGTCCACGTTGCCACACTTAGTAGACTTCAGACACGCAGGGTGCTTAAGTCAGTACCGGAGTCCTCACCAAAGCACAAAGACTTTACTTGAAGTGCCAACCATCCGGTCAGCTGGAGGGTGGAGACAATCAGGTGTGGATTGGTGCTACTTTAAATAAACAGAGGTCCCTTCTGTTGAATATTGTACAATTCTGAGTTGTGTCCAACACTAATTTATTGTCAGTTTTACTGCAAGATGAGACCACAGATCCCGTATATCTGTGACGTTGAGGCCAAGGGTTTGAAAGCACGCTCGCTCACTGCTCTTCTGTGTTTAAGGACTCCGTTCCTTTCTGACTGGCCCACACTCAGCCCTGTACCACTCTAGGATAGCACTGAGGTGGACTTCCACGCTTCCCCGGTTCTCCCTGCTAAAGTGAAAAGTCTTAGGCACTACACGCAATGGATCAATCAAAACCATGCTTTCAAAGAGTTGTAACTGTATGTAAACATTGTATAATGGAATGGAATAAAATGCACATTGTAGGACATTTTCTAAATCTGTTTGTCTTGTCATCTGTTTTTACTTAGTGAGCTGTAGGCTCAAAAAAAAAAACCGCCGGGCGCTGGTGGCTCACGCCTGTAATCCTAGCTACTCAGGAGGCTGAGATCTGAGGATCGCGGTTCAAAGCCAGCCCGGGCAGGAGAGACCGTGAGACTCTTATCTCCAATAAACCACCAGAAAACCGGAAGTGGCGCTGTAGCTCAAGTGGTAGAGCGCTCGCCTTGAGCTGAAGAGCTGAGGGACAGCGCCCATGCCCAGAGTTCAAGCCCCACGACCGACAAAAAAAAAAAACAAAAAACTGACCTCCCTGCCTTCACACAATCTATCTTTCTTTTTTTCTTTCTTTCTTTTCTTTTCTTTTCTTTCTGTCTTTTTTTTTTTTGTCAAGGTGATGTACAGAAGGGTTTCAGTTACATAAGTAAGGTAATGAATACATTCCTTTTTTTTTTTTTCTTTTTCTTTTTTTTTTTTTTGTCAGTTGTGGGGCTTGAACTCTGGGCCTGGGCAATGTCCCTCTCCTCTTTAGCTCTAGGCGAGCACTCTACCACTTAAGCCACAGCACCACTTCTGGTTTTCTAGTGAGTGGTTTATTGGAGATAAGAGTCTCATGGACTTTCCTGCCCAGTCTGGCTTTGAACTGTGATCTTCAGATCTCAGCCTCCTAAGTTAAGCTAGGATTGTAGCCATGAGCCACCAGCATCTGGCCCTTCCTTCTTTCTTTCTGTGCTGGTCTTGGGGTTTGAATTCAGGGCCTGGGTACTGTCTCAGGTTTTTTTGTTTGTTTTTCTGCTCAGGGTAGTGCTTTATCACTTGAACCACAGCTCCTGTCCCAACTTTTTAGTAATTAATTGGAGAGAAGAGTCTCATGGATACAAAGCCCCAGCTGGCTTTGAACCTTGATGCTCAGATCTCAGCCTCCTGAGTAGCTAGGGTTATAAGTGTGAGCCACTGGCAGTGCCTGACCACACAAGATTTCTTAAAATGATTTCATTCCCAGGCAGCCAGTGTTGCATGTCCTCTCCAGAGGCACTGAAGGCAACCTAGTTTGGGTCTGTTAAAGTTACAGCAAACGGGAAAGCCCCAACAGTACTGCTCCCATGAGTCCTGGTGATTTTTTTCTGCTCTAAATTATGTGAGTTCTAAATTCCAAAATAACATCTTCGTTTTCTCAGAGTTGGAAACTAAAAATATCATTGTTTGTTTCCATAGTTCTTGAAGACACTAAGCAGGCAGAAATAGATTCTGAAGAGTATCAGCTGGCTACGGTAGAGCTGCTTTTGGGAGGCAGAAATGAATGTTTTCACCAAAAGGAGAATAAATGAAAATACCCTTAAGTTAGGTATTGCTAGCTGGGCACTGATGGCCCACACCTATGATACTAACTACTCAGGAAGCTGAGAGCTGAGGATCATGGTTCGAAACCAACCCAAGCAGGAAAGTCCATAAGACTTATCTCCAATTAACCACCAGAAAACCAGAAGGGGTGCTGTGGCCCAAAGTGGTAGAGCACTAACCTTGAGCAAAAAAGCTCAAAGACAGTGCCCAGGCCCTGAGTTCAGGCCCCACAACCAACTAAATAAATAATGCTGTCCCTGTAAGCTGGGAGCTGTGGCTCATGCGTGTAATCCTAGCCACTCAAGAAGCTCAGATTTGAGGATTGCAGTTTACAGTCAGCCTAAGCAGGAAAATCTGTAAGCATCTCTCCAATTCCAGCAAAAAGCTGGAAGTGGAGGTATGGCTCAAGTAATAGGACACTAGTGTTGAGTGAAAAAGCTAAGAAACAGCTCCCAGGCCCTGAGTTCAAGCCCCAGTAATTGCACCAAAACAAAACAAAATCCCTTCTGCAAAATGATGTAATCTGTGAGGCAATGAGCCACATAGCTTCTAGTTACTACTCGAAAAGTCCTCCCCTCATCCAGGGCAATTAAGTGTGCTGAGTCTCAACCTTCCCTTTCTTACCCTGCTGGCACTCAGAAGGAAAATGGCTCTGCCTCACTTCAATCCTGGAAGTCCTCCCTAAACCCAGTCTCCTCCCACCCCCCATCAGGAGCCAGCTCTGTATCCAAACAAGGCCCTCATGAAATAAGCACCTAGTAGCTAGATGTGGGGAACCACCCAATAGATGAAACTGCCTAGTGCTTGACACGTGCTGTCGACCTCGACTTGCCATGTGGCCTCTGAAGACTGAAGAGGTCCTTGTGAATTGAGAACACTTAACTGTTCTGCATAAGGCTGGCAGATAGCACTTATATACATGAAAGCCTGTGCTCCCAAGACTTCATTTGGATTCTCTGTTTTACTAACAGGCCTGGAAAGTCCAAGTCTCCTACTCACAAGGCATGTTTGACTCTTTTCACTTGTCACAGTTTTTGTTTTTACCACCCCTGGAGCTTGAACTCAGGGCCTGGGAGCTGTCCCTGAGCTCCTTTTTGCTCAAGTCTAGTGCTCCACCACTTGAGCCACAGCACCACTTCTGGCTTTTTCTGTGACTGATTAGAGGTAAGAGTCTTGGGCTTTCCTGCTTGGGCTAGCTTCTAACCATTATCCTCAGATCTCAGCCTCCTGAGTAGCTAGGCTTACAAGCATGAGCCATCAGCACTCCACTGTCATGGATATTTAACAGGAAAAGAAACACTAGAGATAAGGGAAAACATTTGAGCAGCATGTTTAGATGGTAGAAGAGGCGGGGAAGATGTAAGTGGAACGCAGTCAGTGAGTATAGTGAAGACCACATGGAATGGTTTAACATCAAACTGCTCTGGGTCCCAGGGAGCCAGTAAATCAGTTATGAAGCACTGGGTCAGTCTGAAGAATGATTACCTCATCTTTCAGCTTCACATACAGACAGCACCCCTGAATGCCATGCTCCTTGGATCTGGCCCTCTATGATAACCTCTGAACAGGCCAACCCACAAGGTTAGAGATTAGGAAGGACTAGGGATGAGAAGGGATGAGGCTGGAAGCCAACAGAGTTATCATTTAGAAACCCAGAAGTGTAGAGAGAGTTCAAAGGTTCAAGCTTTGATTTCAGGATGGGCCACAGGCATGGTTGCCCAGTTAGGAGAAAAACATGGTGAAACTCCACCAAGAAAGGGTACAGGAGAGAATATGGGCATCTTTAAAGAAAAAAAAAAATCTCAGAGTTCTACCATCTTTTTTTTCTTTCTTTCTTTTGCCAGTCCTGGAGCTTGAATGCTAGGCCTAGGCTCTGTTCCTGAGTGTCTTTTGTTCAAGCCTAGTACTCCACCAATCGAACTACAGAGCCACTTCCAGCTTTTTCTGAGTAGTTTATTGGAGATAAGAGTCTCACGGACTTGCCTGCCCTAGCTGGCTTCAAACTGCAATCCTCAGATCTTGCCCTCCTGAGTAGCTAGGATTATAGGCATGAGCTACTGGCACCTGGCTACCATCTGTTTTATATTGTGCCTGTCCTGGGGCTTGAATTCAAGGTCTTGGTGCTGTCCCTGAGCTTTTTTTTTTTTTTTTTTTTTTTTTTTTTTTGCTCAAAGCTAGCTCTCTACCACTTGAGCCACAGCTCCACTTCTGACTTTTTGCTGGTTAAATGGAGATAGGAGTCTCATGGACTTTCCTTCCCCAGGCTGATTTCAAACTATAATACTTAGGTTTCACACCAGTACCCATCTGTTTTTAGGAGCAAAAAGGCACCTTGTGGACACATTCAGAACTCTCAAACTGGCAGTGATACCCAGTTCCCTCACTTGGCTGCTCCTAGAAATGGCATTAACAGTAACAAACCCATCTTTGTGCTTGCTAGTTTGAGTCCTGTTTTCCATTTGAGTGTGTTCGCCATAACTTAATCAACACTACTTACAGATGGATTTTTTAAAATCTACAATGAGATTGTACATAAAGGGAACACAAATCTGAGTTCTCCAAAACAAAAGGCACTAGTGTGTTTAATGGAGTTATCATTTATTGAACTGAGACAGAGGTTTAGCAAGAAATTAAAAAATACCAGCCAGGTGCCAGTGGCTCATGCCTGTGATCTGAGGATCATAGTTCGAAGCCAGCCTGAACAGGAAAGTCTGTGAACTCTTACCTCCAAACACACACATGCACACACACACAAAAGCTGAAAGTGGAGCTGTGGCTCAAGTGGTAGAGCACTAGCCTTGAGCAAA